TATATTGAGATTTCGTTTAATTTTTCTTATTTTATCTTGAAATAGATTTAATTTAATGTAAGTTTGATGAAAAGAAATGTTTTTTAAACATTATAACGTTTAAAATAAAATAATTTGATATCAAGATTTACCCCTTTTAATATTTTGGTATATGAAAAGATTTTCAGAAAGAATATGTTGAAAGTAAAGTACTTATCTTAAATAATACCACAAAAACTTTTATTTTATCCTGTTTATATAAGTTATGCAAGACAAATCGTCGAAACGTCGTCCTTTTTTAATCGTATAGTAAAACCTCAAATATTATAGCTTTAAATGGTGTAAATTGTAGCGTTACGCTACAGCTTTAGCATTGTTTGACAGTTGCAAGAAAGTCCGCTGGACAGCGCTGTTTGACAATTTTTATTCAAAAGAATATAAATTAATGTATTTTTTTATTTTTTATTATATTTATTGTAATGTTGGTAAATTATTTTGTTACATATCAGTCTTAATGGGAACTCGAAAATGAAATAGGATATTAGAATACGCATTTTTTCATTGGAGGGTATTAAAAAATAAATTATCAATGGGCGATCGTTTTACACTACTCAGGTGGTGACAAGTAATATAAAATACACCGTCACTACTTGTATAATTATCTCTAAAAATTATAATAATATTTTTCATTAGTTTATTCATTATGTTTTTTTAAAACCGTGTTTCACCAGTGATTGCAATATTCATTGCCCACTAGTTTTCTTCTAAACATCTTACCATTGAGTAAGTTTTATTATATTTAAACTTTTTAATCTTTACTCTAACTACACATATAATTTTCAACGGTGTTCGTAACTAAGCGTTACCAACCGTGATCAAAATTATTTATATTAAAATTCTATTCATTAAAAGTTAGTACAATCTTCAACGGTGATCATAACCTCCGTGTTATCAACCGTGATAAAGATAACTGTCTTTTTTGTTAAAATCCACTTAACCTTTTTGCAACGGTGTTCGTAACTACTCGTTACCATCCGTGATCCGTTATACTTCTACTTTCACCTTAAATTAAATAGTTCCTAAAGTAAGACTGATATGTGATAGTAAGCTGTTTAGTATATATTCATCTTTTCATCAAAGATTAATTATTTGAACAAATTTGCGTTATATTTAACTATTATTGATAAATTTAAAAGAGTAAAAACGTAGAAACGTTAACATATAAATATTTTTTAAACTTTTTTTTATAATTTGATTTGGGTTTTTGAATTTTTTCGTTTTATTCCATAATTATGAAATTACTACAAATAGAAGGGTAATTTTGTAAAGAATTCAGAAATATAATTTTTTTTGTCTATTCTTTGATAAATAATAAATAAAGTGCTATGTATTGCTAGTGGAGATATAAATTGATATATTAATTCGATAAAATAAAAAATGATCTGTGGTACCTTTTCAGTTTTATGAGTAGACTTATTTCAAAAATTTGAAATTTTCAGTGAAACATATGATTTAAAACGAGAAGCTCGCTAAATTTGTTTTTGGTTTAAAGTCATATGAAATTGATCACCAGGGAAATAAAATATAATTAGTGCAAACATTTTTTTTTTTATAAATGGCTTATGTAGTTTTGTGGAATTTAATTATTTTTACATTATTGATTGTTTGTTTTTCATGTGCAAATCTAGATTCAGTTTCAAAAAAATTAGATGCACAGTCAAAAACCCGTATAGACATATTTGTTAAAACTATTAGACAACTACAAAGATGTTATTTATGGTCTAAGACACTGCCTTATAAAGAACAGTTAGATTATCTAGTTACACTACAGCGCAAAGTAATAATAATATTGTGTTATTTATGTGCGATTTAAACACATATGTATGTAGATCTAATAGATAAATAGATCGACTATTTATATGATTTTTTTTGGTCACCTTATAAAAAGTGAAAAATTTTAACAATAGTAATCTCTTATGTACGTTCATGGATAACTAAAATTCGTAATAGCTGTCTCACCAAAAGTGTTGAAATTTCACAAGCTTACAAGCGGTGAACATTTAATACATCACTGTGCTCTATTTTGTGTTTAAGAAAATGTACTTTTTTTGTTATTTTATTGTATGGAACTAAATAATTTTAAATTGAAAAACCTTCAAGAATAAAATATTAACTTTATAAAATACTAAAAAAAAAAAAAAACACATCTTAGTAAAACCAATACCTTCTCAGCTTCGCATTGAAGCTAAAATGTATATGATTAGACGAGATTCTTTCTGATAAACTACAATTTAATCTTCAAGAACCCTTTTTTTCGATTTATCATAGCAATTCCATTTTTTCTCCAAATCATGCACTAGTTATACATTAATATGCACGTCAAACTCTTCTATATCAGATTAATTAATTCATCAATCCGTTGATATGTTTCCTTTGAAATAAATCATAAATAAATGCTTATCTTATTAAAATGAGTAATAAAAATAAAACCCAGCACAGTGGGGTGGTGGCACAGTGGGGTGGTGGCATAGTTGGGTCCAGTATAGATGATATCTGACAGTGATTAAAATCACTATCATAAAAAACGCTTCGATGCAAATCTGTAGATAGTGTTTAATTTATAAAAAAAAAAATTTGTTAAAATAGCATATTTTTGAATACGGTAGCCTTTTGCGCATAGAAGATAGGTCGTCGGGACAAATTTTTTTTTTTTATTTTATAGTACATGAAATAAGCTTTAATTTGATATATGTTTAAAGGACGCAGTATTTCCGGAACATTTTCAAAAGTTCAGTTGAAAAAGTTAATTTTTGTAAAAAAGTTGCCATTTTAAATCCCCCCCCAATGAGCAGGTTAAGTGATAGATTTTCAAAAAAATGATATCAAATGAAAGGTAAATATTTAAGGTTTTAGTATAAAAAAAAATTATGTTGATTTGTTGATTTTTCAAAAAGTTATGGAAGTTTTAAGAAAAAAAAGTGAAAAAATTTCGAAAATTAGCGATTTTTAAATTTGTAATTTTTTTGGATATTCCCCCATTTGCGGGGAACGAGGGAAAATTTTTCAATTTTTAAAGATAATGTCTTCAACTAGATACGATTTGTGATCTTTTGACGTATTTTTGAAAGAAATCGGTCCAGTGAGAGCTGAGAAAAAGTGGCAATAGAAAAAAAAAAAAAAAAAAAACACATCATAGTAAAACCAATACCTTCGCAGCTTCGCATCGAAGGTAAAACACATCTTAGTAAAACCAATACCTTCTCAGCTTCGCATCGAAGCTAATAGTATTCAAGAAGGTTACTATTATTTATTATTATTAACTATAAATAAATGATATATATATTAAATCTCAATAAATTTTGTATAATTTTAAAATTATAAAAAAAATTATGTATTTATTTTCTCTAGATTATTTTTGATGTGAATATTGAGAGTGATGATTTTTACCTTAAACGTCGGAAATCGCCCATTGAAAGAAACCCCAAAAAGTTTAAGTGTTCGGTCAGTCCAAAATATTATGGTTTTTACTTTGGTTCTCCAGCTATTGTTGGCTTATGTTTTTTAGGTTGTGTCACTTGCGTAACAATATTTTACTGGCGAACAAGATGTAATGAACATGATCAAATTTTTTATTAATTAAGAGTGTAAAATACATAAATTATGTTTGTTTGATAAATAACGTATTTAAGCTTCAAAGTAAAGCTGCACAAATTTAGTTTTTATAATGATGTGTTTTTATGGCTGTTGCAATTAAAAATTTGTAACTGAATCAATATAATGGAATAACACAACAAAGAAATGCAGTTACATCAAGTTAAAATTTTAAGATAGAGTTTAATCACTTGATTATTAAAATTTTAAGTTTGGTTAATGAGAAAATATTTTATTATCTACTTTGAAAAAAGTATTGTTAAATTAGATATGTTAAATAAAATGTATTTACTAAGCAATTTTTTACTATTAAAAACTAAAATATTGAATTAATTAATTCTTAGTTAAATAACTATAACTAAATATCCCTTCATTAATAATTATAAAAAATTATGTATATACAAAAACATTGCAACTTCGATGCGAAGCTGAGACGGTATTTACCATGTGTTATTTTTTTGATTTTTTTTTTTAGTGTCTGTTTAAATTTTTTCTCAACTCTCATCGAACCGTTTTTTTTCAATGATACATCAAAAGATCTCAAATCGTATTTAGTCGAAGACATTATACTCAATAATTGAAAAAAATTCTCTCAATCCCTTTAAATTGGGGAAATCTCCAAAAAAATTACAAATTTAAAAATCGCTAATTATCGAAATTTTTTCAATTTTTTTAACTTCAATCAATATAATTTTTTTATATAGATGTATGATGTCTTTACCTATCATTTGGTTTATTTTTTTTATAAATCTGACTTTTTACCTGCCCACAGAAGGAATTCAAAAAATTAAAAAAAAAAAAAGTATCAGTTCAGTAGTTTCCAAGTCCATTGCGGACAAACATCGTAACATGAGATTTTTATATATATATATATAAGCGTTTTTTATGATAGTTATTTTAATCACTATCAGATATCATCTATACTAGGCCTAACTATGCGTCCAATAATAACGCAAAATGTAATTAATAAAGATATAATCAAACAAAATAAAACATAAAATAATGATACACTTAAAACAGAATAAATAAATAATACACAAAATGAAAACTTAATGTCACAAACGTACCACGCGGAAAGAGATTCCTTCGGTACTCCCGAGGTCTTCTCTCTCTCCCCTTTCAATTCATTCCATTTCGTCTTATATACTAAAATATTTTCTTTTTCTTTTTATAAAATTCATATAGTAATCATTTTCAAAAATGTTTATAAATATTTACTTCCTGATCTAGTAACAATAATTCGGGGAATTACAATTAATCTAAACATTACAAAAGTGTTCTACTTCTAGGTTTACAAATAATAGACTACAGTAGAACTCCAATTATCCGAATTAATGGGGACCGGGACCCATTCACTGACTAATCAAAATAAACAATGACAGGTGACTGCAATGCGCCGGAACTGGAGTGGGAACTCTTACCACGTGTTGTGCCTACACTGACGCCGCGGACTTTGGACAAATTTTTTTCTGATTTTTTCTGAAAGTGATTCGGATAATCGGCGATTCGGATGATCGGAGTTCGGATAATTGGAGTTCTACTGTATATTATATTTTTGTATTAATAGATCAAGAAATTCATAATTAAACCAAACAATACAAAAATGCTTTTNTCGGGGAATTACAATTAATCTAAACATTACAAAAGTGTTCTACTTCTAGGTTTACAAATAATAGACTATATTATATTTTTGTATTAATAGATCAAGAAATTCATAATTAAACCAAACAATACAAGAATGCTTTGNATCAAGAAATTCATAATTAAACCAAACAATACAAAAATGCTTTTTTTTCAGTTTTACAAAATAATGACCTATATTACACCGCGACCCCACTGTGCTGGGTTGTTCTTTATTAAATTTAGGTAAATAGTAATTCATATAGAAAAATGTACTTTGAAGGTGATACGTCTTCAGTAACGTATTTAGGAGGGCTAGAAGCAATCACTTGGATGGTATTAGATTTTTACATAACGATGTGTGAATTTTTTAAAGCTGTGCACATAACATTTTTTTTTTGATAACCAAATGTAGTATAAAAAATCTTTATCCAATAATTTTTTTATTTGTTTAGCTTCAATGGTAACTGTGAACTAAAGATGAACAATATATCTATTTCTCAATCGGAAATTAACAATAAGCTGAGTGCTGCGCTATTACTTAGAGTTCCAACAGTTCTGGCGCAGTAGCGACTGTCATATATCTGGTATGACATTGTTTTTCTACTAGAAGTATAACTAGTATTATGTTAGTACACTGCCAGCAATGGCAGTAAAGTGCTGACCGTTAATACTGTACAGTACTTAGACAAGACGACAGCCAGTACTACGCTAATACAGGCTAGCCTGGTTAGTTATCATTACTAGTACAATACATCGCCCATTGTTAATACAGTATACTTTGAATATTTAGTTTTTCAAGTTTTCAGCGCTATTAGGTTCAACTAAATTAAAATCGAGATATTTTAATATATTGATCATTAAAATCAGTCTGATAAAAGCTGAGAATTTTCATGGACACAAACACCATTACAAAATTAATATCTTACCTGCTTTGTATCTTAGCTAAAAATGCATCTTTAATGTGAATATTCAATTTTTTTAGTAGTATATTAAAAATAACCTACATGGATAATACAATAAAAAAATCTGCAATATCATTATATATGCATAATTAAAACAACGCATAAATATAACTTAATATATACAATTTTTGTAAAATTAACATTTTGCTTTGTTTGAAAAAGATGTTCTTAAATGTTAAAAACAGTTTTTTACAAGAAAAAAAAACGGATTTCATGATGTTTTATGGAAAATTATGTCTTCAATTTTCTATACCGAAGAGAATTGAATTAGTTATTGTTCTCTTTTAATACTTATTAGTACCATTGAATTTGTACATTTATACTTGCTACTATACATATATCATTATTATATATGTTGAGTACTGTTTTTGTTAAGCATAAAATAAATTATTCTTGTTAAATATTAATTCTGGCCTGAATTAAAGTAAATTATTAATGAAGATTATAGTGATTTACAAAATAAATATGTCATTAAACAAAAACTAGTATTTTAAACAAATTTGAAAAATATAAATACTGTAAAAATTTACACTCGTGCCTGCAAAATACAAAGAAAAAAAAAAATGGAAGTTGACGGACTTATTATTTTTATTGTCGGATCAGTCCTCACCTTTGGAGTTGTGTATATGATCAAGTCCGGAGAAGGCGGATCTGGAACGGATGAATGAAGTTAAACCCAAACATATTTAAAGAGTATTAGATTGAGATATGTTATTACACATAACAAGTCACTTAAGCAGACCAAAGATTTGTTCAATATTTCTATTAATTCAATTAAATATTAAAAATTGTAAAACTTAGAAAATTTATACTTCCAATTTGTAAAAAATACAAAAATAATGGCAAGAGTTAAGACAAATATTAATGCGCGCTAATCATACATTTAGTTTATAAATGTCTTCGTGAGTTTTTAAAGTCTAAAATTATTTACTGACCATAAAATAAGTAAATCTCTAGAAAATGCTCATTATTATTTTGAATATATTTTTAAATAATAAAATATAATATGAAAAATGAATACATCATGTTTTAATTATATCGTTTTTTGGTAATTTAAGAACAGTGATTATAAAATATTTAGTTAATTAATGTGTATATTATAAGTGAATATTTACAAATTTTATAATGTGTATATACATTTAAATGATAAATACGATTAAATTTTAAAGAAACATTTAAATATGGTATATTGAGTATTTTTATAATGCAATCACAATGAGCCATGTATAATTATTTATACAATAAAAAAATAGTAATATCAAAATTCTCAATTTGATGAAATAATTATTTCTCAACATTGAAGTATATAACACTTATTAATAGTTATAAAGGAACTAAAATTGACCAAGCAACTGTTTTAATATGGCAAAGGCAATATATATTCTCTTAAACTGTCTAGTTCATCTGGACATAAATAATTGTCAATGTCTAATAGCTCTTCTGATGGTATTTTTCTAAGACTGAGATGATCTACAATAGCTGGTAATGCTGGAGGTCGAGGTAAAGGGCTATCCAGCTCAGGTCGTTTGGTTACATTTTTAAGTCTTTCGTATATGTCTGAAAATTTCAAACGTTCTTTAGGGTCACTTTTCCAGCAGCCATTCATTAAAACACAAATGACGGGCGGACAATTGAGTGGAAGTTCAAGCAATACTCCATCGTGGATTAATTTTAATACCTACAAAAAAAAGATTCATAAAATACATAAACAATCAATAATTCTGTTGCATACCTCGTCATTGGAGTACCCATAGTATGGCTGTTTTCCCATCGAATAGATTTCCCACAGTACAATTCCAAATGACCATACGTCTGATTCCAAAGTAAATTTACCGTAAACAACACTCTCAGGTGACATCCATCGTACAGGAAGAAGTCGGGAACCTCCTACCTAAAAATCATAATTTTTTATGATAAATAATAATGTGATGTAAAAAGAATTAAAAAGTTCATAAAAAAAAAATCATTTTATTCAAAAATTATGTTTATATTTAATTCAAACAATTACAATTATTATTACATTGCACTATTAATAAGATAAGATCATGAAATGATAATTTGAGATAAATTATATAAAAATATTGATTTCTTATAAGCTTTTTAGCTTTTTTTCTTTATATTACTAATAAATTAATATAAATATCCATAGACAACTGCATCGTTAAACTAAATTTAATTAAAATAAAAGGCCAAAAGTCATATTTTTTTAGTTACATTTTTATTGTAATAATAGTGCAATATTTTTGATTTTGTAGAAACAATTTTTAGTGTTTTTATAAAAAGTAGCATACTAACTTTATAATAATCACAAGTATATATATCTCGACTCATTCCAAAATCAGCAATTTTCACAATTAAGTTGTTTCCTACAAGACAGTTTCTGCATGCAAGGTCTCTGTGTACAAACCGCTGGCTGGCTAAATATTTCATACCAGCTGCTATTTGTAATGATATAATCAATAGAGCGTCCTATAATTATGGTTGAATTAAGTTGATCAGTTTTTTTTTCATTAAATAATTAATGATAAAATGATAATATAATAATAATAATATTACATAATAGAATGGTTTTAATTAATAATTTTTTACTCGAGTACAGGTAACAAAGTTTAACTATAATAATACCGGTAATGTTTGATTTAAATAAAGAGCATAATTAATTTCTTTCTTTAATTCTTCAAAAATATTTAATAATAGTTTTTTTTTATCATTATTGACTCAAAACTCGCGTAGAATGAGAAAAATTCACACGTAACATAGATAATTCATGTGCAATTAATAACGCTAATGCAATTGTAGTATACTCTAATGCAAGTTCAATAAGTACTTTGTCTAAAATAGGTAGATCCGATGAGTAACTTGTGAATTGTTCACTACTATTACGCAACACTTCAGTTAAGTCACCATAAGCCATATATTCGAAAACCATCCAAGGAGAATATTTGTCTTCTGTAAAAATTACATTAAAATTATTATTATTGTGATGTATTCAAGAATAGAATTCAGATATAATGTTTAATGTTACACAAGTGCATTTTAAACAATTTTTGATCTATAATTGTCAAATTAAATAGAAAGATATTATTTTTCTTAAATTTAAACTTCAAAATGCTATTCGTAGTGAATACATTTTTAGTATATATATTTAAAAAAAAATCATCGTAACTTCGGGTTGAAATTTGAAAAAAGTTTGGTTTTACAAGATCAGGACTTTAGTTTTAAAGACGTTCATTGTAATTGTTATTACAATTTTATTTTTTTTTAAGTTTTTATATAAATAATATTTTTACAATTTAAATTAAAAATTTTTTGTTTTGACGAATGTTATTGTTGTTGAATATTATTAACTTAAATAGTTGTAAAATAGTAACCTAATTATAACCAACTTGATAAAGTTATGGTTTCAGTTACAGTTATAACTTTTTTAAGCATTTTAAAACATCATTAAAAAAGTAATTTAATCATGAATTTTTATGATCTTGCAAAATTATAAAACAGAAAAGAAAAGATATTTTTAAATAATTATAGTAATATTATTAAAAAAATATTAAATAAAAACTTTTATAAAAAATTCATTTAAATCATGACTCTATAATTCTTATTTTTTATACGAAAAAGTAAGGAAAATTACAAAAACAGATATGTGAAATATAAAAAGTACAAACTTTTATTACCTTGTGGACACACTCCAATTAATGTAAGAATATTCTGATGTCTGAAATAAGTCATAATCTCCACTTCTCGCATAAAATCTTCTTTAGCTTCTGCATTAGCATGATCTTTTAGTACTTTAATTGCTACAGTTTCAACTTTTCCATCTGTATGTGTCAGTGTTCCTGTAAAGGGTCAATAAAATTATTTTAATGGAACAATTAAAATGATTGGATCATTTGGATAGATGAAGGAAGAAATTTATGCTGTAATTAGAACATAAAAGTTGACCCCTTTTTATTATTTAAGAGATGAACATAAAAAACTTGACAAATGATAAATTGAGAAAACATGTATCTAAAAGAAAAAAAAATTTATATATATATATTATTTTTATTTAATCAAAAAATCTGCTGGTTCATTAAATTCTGAATACCGTGTATTATATGTAGCTATAAAAATATATTCTTTGAATTATTTTCATTTTGCAAGTATTGGACTGTTTATGATAAAACTGGTTACTCTGTATATCAAACTACAAAAAAAAAAAATGTGCTAATCATTAATATAAAAATTTATATACCTTTATAAACATTTCCGAAATATCCCTGACCAATTTCCTCCATGTGGGATATACAGTCTTTGCTCAAATAAGGTATTAGTATAGTATCTCTTATTATGTTGTCTTCTAAAGATGGTGTCGAGTATTGAGTGCTCAAAGCATAACAGTCGTCCTGAATCATACCTTTGAAAATAGGTACCTCAGACATCTGTACACATAATTTATGCTTTCATTAATGTCATATCAACATTAGTGGTGTTACTTTGACATAAAATATAAAAAAAATCATTCACAGGTATAACATTTTTATCATTATTTATCAAAATTTTCCTTAATAAACTTTCAATAAACGCATAAATTTTCCCATTAAATTTTCAAACTTTTATATGAAAATTAAGACTTTTTAAAGTGTAATTTATAAAAATTACAAAATATTAATATTTACCTTTTGTTTTATCTTATTTTTTCGTTTGCAGCAGGGACGTTTAATCGCTTTGCCACAGCAAACAGCTAACACGATTACAACTGTTACAAAAGCCGCCACACATGCTGCAAGCAGCAGAATAGGATTAACAGGTAGAACAAAGCCGAGTATGTTTAAGTGAAATGATTTGAATTGTAACTATATTAAATAAATACATGTATTTATTTGTTACGTCTATTATAATAAATACAAAGAATTACTCAAAATGTTAATATTAAAATTTCTACTATAAAAAAATTTCATTAATTTTTTTTCTTACTAGAGACAAATAAGAAAATACACATTTACTGTAGGTCAAAATAGCAAAAATAAAAAAAGTAACACAAAATATTGTGAAACAAAAGTTATTACAATTTTAAAAATATTGTGGACCATCTAAGAAAAATTGGAATATTTATACAAACAATTTTTTTTTAGAAAATATAATTAAAAATATAGATCGTTGAATTTACATGATGATTCTTTTGAAAACGTTTGCTACTATATTTCTCTTAAAATAATAATTGCCACGAAAAATATTTAAATTTTTTTAACTTCATAAAATTCTTGATTTATTTATTATAAAAAGCAAAAAAAAAACATAGGTTAATTTATTTGAGATAATTGAAAGGAATCGATAAATTTGCAAGATAAGATTTGTAAAAAGTGTTAGAAAATTTGCATGAATTAAACTCGTATTCAAAGTATAATTACTAGAATACAAATTAATAGCTTAATGTAATGCACATCCTTGATGCCAGGATAATGGTATTACATACTACTAATTTTGTAGTTGAAGAAATGAATTCAATTTATAGGTCCCCTCGAGTATGGCATACATTTTATGGTAATAATTATTTATTTATGTCTTTAATTTTAGTTGAGATATATACATGATACAATTAAACATACCGAAAAAAATGATGTCGTATCGTTTATCGATTTCGATCGGATTGGATTGATTGTTGTGCTTTGTAATAATGGATTTGATAATGTCGCCTTATGTCCATTTTTGTTGATGCTTAGATTTATGAATGGTTTTGGTGCAATCGGAACTTTATATGACAAAAGTAATAAAATCAATAATATAATTTATTAGGAATTATTTTTATAAACTACCAGTGTATCGCTTAGGACACTTTAAGTCTTTGGTTGCCGGACTTGAGTCTAGAGGACAAATACACATATAAGTATTACTTGATAGCTGTTGACATGCAGCCTCTGAGCCACATGGTTTTTTTTCAACACAAGACCCAACCTTCAAGTTGTCATTTTCTATATATGGAAATATAAAACTTAAAATTAATCATAAGTATAAAAAAATGTTAAGTCAAGTTGGGATCCAGTAATATTGAGTTAAAGTTTTTTTTTTAAATTATTTTTTATTTAAATGTGATAGTGATAGTCACTACCGTGAAACGCTTTATTGAAAATAAATAAATTTTGATATATAAATCAGTACTTTAATTAATGATTGGATTTTCAAAAAAAAATATATATATATATATATTTTGTTAGCAAGGTCAATGATTCGAGTACAGATCGCGGGTAAATGAACTCCTCACTTTCAAACGCGTTGTAAATATTAATTGTTCGAGATAGAATGACCAAATAATAAATATAAAGTAGAATCTTTTCCATTTAATAAATAGTTTGTTTTTTGAACAAAACTCCTGACAGATATTTACAATGAAACTTTTTACATTCGATTAATCTTTTTTGGATTTTTGCAATAACTTTTTAGAGTTGTTTTGGTAATTGGCGCTATCTCTCTTCTAATAGTCGATTTTATGAAAGCCTTCATGTCCATAAGTTTATATACATGATTCTTCAATGTCCTCACAAAAAAAAATTCAGAAGGTGTTTAATTTGGACTACGTGGTGGCCCAATAAACTCTGTGTTTCACAAAATTTAACTTAATCCAGAAAATATTAATCCAATGTAAAGCTTTATGGCAAACGTCAGAGGAGCTATGTCAAATAGTATAGTTTCCATTTTATTTTGGTTTTTATTTGGTTCTCTTATCTTGAACAGCCATTATTTAGACGCGTTTAAAATTGGGAAGAACATTTTGGCCAAACAGTATTTTCAATAAAATTTTTGCAATGATCCGTCTATTTAATATTAATTGTAATTTTTCGGGACATTTTCCTTTATTATGAAAGTTAAGGGGATTTTTTTAAAACTATTTTTTTAAAACTTCAACTACATATGATTTGTGATCTTTTAACATATTGTTGAGCAAAATAGATTCAATAGGAGTTGATGACTTTCTTTAATGATGAGCTGATAAAAATTTTAGCGCAGTCTAGTATAATCTGAAATAACGCCACTAAAAACCAATGTTCTCAATACAAATCTAATATCTAAATAGTAATTAATTAAATATTTTTATAATCTAAGTAAAAATTGATTTAAATCTTTAACTTGATATCTTATTAATATAAAAATTATAATTAATTATTATAATTCAAATTTATTATGTATTATATGAAAAGTAAGGGAGTTATTAATATAATAAAAATCTTTTTCACTTCTTACAAAAGAAAAATAGAATAAATGCACTGATTTTGGTCACTATAACACTTTTAACCATAAATTAAGTGTATTTGTTTTAGAAATACTTTTAAAAAATGTTTGAACTAATGTGCTCTAAAACCTATAATTGTGATTATCAAAATTAATTTGTTCTAATAATAAGTGGTATGGTTTATGATCTAATAACTAAATAACAAGTGGCTATAATAGCTATTAAGGTGGCTATAACGGGTATTCTTATCCTAATTCCATTTTTTTGGACATATTTAAAAAATCTACCGAAGAGCATGAAATGGATGTGAAATATAACATTTCGGACGCAAAATGTTTTAATAACTTACGGGAATTTACACTAATATACTCCTTATGAATAGTTGAATAGATCATATTAAGAGAACTATTCTGTTTTTTGTATTAATATAAAGTAATTTATTTGATAATATAATACATTTTTATACGATTTTCATCAGTTAAGACATGGATAAACAAACCCTTGCATTGTATTTGAAGTCTAAACAACATGTGCACCCATACTGCACCTAATTTACTTTAAAACCCATTAAAATACAGTATAGAAAGTTAACACCCTTAGCGACCTCTTTTTAATAGATGTGCGTGAATTCCAATGGGATTGAAATGATCCTTGAAATTTAAAAAGGCGTGTATCATGTCACTTTAATTTTTAAACATAAGATTAATTGATTTTGATTTACATAACTATTTTATGTTAATTGTGGTTCAGTAGTCCTATTATTTTTAACGTACTTAGGGATTACTTAGTTTAAGTGATATATATACTTAGTTTTTGATATATTTTCAAAAACACTGTTGAAATTACATCTATTTAAAGCACCCCGGGAATTTTAATTCAGTTAAATTGTAAATTTATTTATTGTTCAGATAAAATTATAAATATTTAAATAAACGAAGTTTTGTTTTATGTTTATAAAAAAAGTACAATTATATCATAAATTGATTTACTTTGTGGTAAAAACTAAAATAATTAAATAACAATTATTTTTAGTCAGCTTAAGAAAATAAATAAATATTTGAAATATAATTATAAACAAAAGATTTTTAAATTTATTGAAAATTTATAAACTTGAATTTTTATAGGAAAAACGCTCAGGATCATTAGATGACGGAGATTGCTCTTCCTTATTTTTTTGAAAACTGTATCGCTAGTAAGTTTCAGCTGAAATATATTATATATATATATATATATATCTGAGTATAACATTAAAAGTTAACACTTACTTTAAATATCCTTAATACGTATTTAATAATCCTTAATAATCTACTTAAAAGTTCGCCTGTTTGAAAAAAATTGAAACAATGTAATACATAAATATGCTTAACACCAATGCTTCATTAGTGCTTTTGAGGTAAATTTTTCTTTATATGACCTGTTAATTATCTAAAAGGACTTGCTATGTTGATATTGACTTCTCTGAACTTATTATATCCATTTAAGATCGATGCTTTCTTAAATTTTTATGAATAAATATATCGTTTATTTTATTTGCATAGGTTTTTTAACAAGAGTAAGATTATTTCAATAAAAGATATACGAAATAGGTATAGAGTAATATGTAGTTTATATCGAAAAACTACAGAGGTATAACGGCCGGCAGAGGTCACCGCGGATCACGAATTAATTTTGATATGAAGTTGCGATTACATTTGAAATTGTAACATAAGCCATACAGAGCATAATTATATTTATTAAGGATTTGTACTACAATAAAAAATAATGTAATGAGATCTAAGAAATTTAGTTTTAAAGATTGAAGCTAAAAAAAAATTCTTGGCACGTAGTCATTTAAAACCATAATTTATTATTATTATTATTATTATTTAACAGAAAATAAACTGATTTCATTATACAGAATGTTTAGTGAGTAAGGTATCGGGTTAATTGTTATACACAATAATGACAATAGAAACCCGATTCCTAAATTACTGAACACTCTCTCTCATTCTCTCTCTCTCTATATATATATATATATATATATATATTGCTGATGAATTATTGGTTATCGTTATGTATCAATACAAATAAATGATGCGTTACTTTAAACCGAAATTTATCCTAATTGTGTACCTTTATATTATTAATTTAAAGTTCGATGGATTTATAATTTTTGAAATTTTTTACTTAATTAAAAATATTATCCAGGTAATCCAATAACTATTTCGACTTTTCGAGTAAATTTTCTAGTATCGATAACTAAAATTATTTGCGAAAATCATTAGATTTAAGTATTGATAGATATCATAATTAATGTGATGGGTAAATTTATTTTTAGTACAAAATTATACTAAGAATTCAGAATTCTAAATAAATTTCAAACTATATATAAATAGAACACCAAAATTTATCTATAAAAACTCATCATATTTATTTTTATTAAATTAATTATAACATATCCATACATCTCATGTTGTTAATGTAATTGTGTTGTTGATTTAGATTTTGAACCTTTGTTAGTATGTATTGAGACGTTTTTAAACGTGTAATAAATATTGATAATATATAATAAGATATTATAACGATATAACAGTAATTTATTAATATCAATACGCTTTACAGTTGACATTTTTTTTTAAATTAGATAGTAATTGAACACTAATGAGAAAAATTTGTTCTAGCACCTAGTTTTTTAAATTGGCTCATTAGTTTTACTATTCCTCAAATCCTGGATTTATCGATCTGTTTTTACAGAGTTCAAAGTAAAAAATTTTTTTTAAACTAAATTTCATTGTAATAGTCAATCAAAAATATTCCATACAGGATTTTTAATATCAATGCGTTGATTATTAAAAAAAATTCATAGATTATACATTTTTTGTAAGATACAAAACAATAGTTTTTATGAAAAAAAATTATTAATGAAAATTAGTAATCAATATGCATATATATTTATAGATTTTCCATAGATGAATGAAAAATACTGTTCAAATATTTGATATTTAACATTTGATAGCAATTTCTCAAGGAAATTAAGATGTTTTAGACAATAATGATACGTGCAGTAGATTTATAATAAGACGATTATTATAGATTTAAGCAATAATAATTTTAATAAAATCCTGAAGTGTTATTGAATACATCTAAATTTTACTAATAAATATTTCATAATATATTTCAGTAAAAATAATTACATCTATTTCGATTGTATAAGGTCGTTAATAGGTTAATATTTATGTGTAGCAACCCCATATATTGATAAATTATCGTTTAAAATTATAAATTATTGGCTAGAATGGTAAGTAAACTTCACACTCAAGAGTTAGCTTTGTTCATATGAACTTCTATTACTTATATTAATTAGTATTATCTTACCGGTAAATCTTTTTCTTTGATGGTGTAATTTTAATGGAATCATATTCTCTGATATTCAATTATTGGCTTGTCTTTGGTTGAATGTTCCGTTTTCAAGTTTTTAAAAGTAGTTGAAATTTTTTACAATTTGTTTCATTATTACGGTAGTGAATATATAAAAATGAAAAATGATCACAGTTTTAAAATTATTTTGTATAAAATTTAAGAATAAACATAAATAAGTTGTCGTTTTGAATTATGAAATCAAGGTGTTTCAAAACCGTCGATAGAGGTATATGTTGATTAACAAGGTAATATGATAGGACTGATAATATTATTAAAACTAACGATTAAATCAGTTTCATAGAAATAATATTATCTAACTTAATGTTTTTGTATTCGATAATTATATTTGTTATCATTTTAAATATGTATAATGTTTGGAGTATGGACTACGAACAGCAAAAAAACGACTTCTGAAATCTGAACATCATCGGTTCAGTAACGCTACTGACTAATTTTACCAGTAGTTACTGGCGAGTAGTGTGGTGCTTACTTCCCTGAAGATAGTTTTGTGCTATTACTTAGTACTATATGCACTATACTCGTAGTATATAAAAAGTGTGGCTGCATATGTGCATTATGTTATACATGTATATTGTATAAATACAATTATATTTATTGTTTAAAATAAGTATAACAAAATAAATGATGTTCCGGTTAATTTAAACGGTTTCCACGCACCCTGAAGACTGGGTGCGACGACTGTTTAAAGGTAAAACTATATACTTTTCTTTGACGTTTAATTATGATGTCCTTAGAAATTAAATTAATTTTTTCAATTTAATTCTATAATTAATATTACGTTATTAGAGTATCCAATCAATAACTATTATTAATAGTATATTAGAGATGTGAGTACAGTTAATTAACTGGGTAAAATTGAATTAAAAAATAAAACCACCTCTTTTACTGAAAAAAAAAATTACCTATAAAGTTATGACCCTTTAAATAACATAATATGAGAAACCATTATATAGCCAGTTATGAATTATTTTAATATTAAAAACTCAGTGTTATGATAAAGTTAAAATTTCCATGTTAAATTATTTAGAATAAAAAGGCTTATGACTATTAAAAAAAAAACGAAAATAATAACATTTTTTATTTACCTTAAAGGTTTTAAATTATACTATAATTTATTTACTTATAATGAAAAGATAATTACGTGTGAACATTTATAACCTCATCGACTCTGCTCAGTATCATGTCATTTACTCATTTGGTAATGTATGGAGAAATGATAGTTACTTCTATTGCACTTACAATACAGTAAAACATTTTAAAATTAAGGTCAAATTATCAAAAAATGATTAGTGTTTTGTAACAAAAAACAAATACTTAAACTTTAAAAACGCTATTTTGTTGCCTAAAATAAAAAGGTTCATTTTAGGCCATGAAATATATTTTAAATATCTTGTGTTTAGTTTCAAATATTTAAATTGTCAAATACAAAAATTGTCCATATTATAATATTAAATTCATATTAAATCACATAAAAATTTGTAAATAATAAAACTATTAAATAATAATACATATAAATTTTGGTGACCTATTTTCAAAAACTGATATCACAAGAAAAAGTATTTCAAATAAGTTTAATGTTGTAATTAAATAGTTTCGTATAATAAAACTAGAGACTTAACAAAATTTTAGAAGTCAAATATTAAGAAATTAAATATTAAATATTAAATATTAAGAAAGTCTATATTAGAGACTCTCATTTTGCTCTGATCGCGAATTTAATATAATGATTCGTTTTTTGGAAAGAACGAAACAAATGTCATTTTACCATAAATATGGGAAATTATTAAACAAATTAATTAGTTTTAACATGTTACGGATAAATAAATGAACCTCATTATGAGGTTAGATTTTAAGTACTTTTAAATTTATCTGAGACAATAATGAGTTTTCCAATAATCATATAATTTATTATAACTTTTTGCCATTATTACCACTCAGTCGGTAAATTTACAAACCTTTTTATTCGTATATTTTGCATATCAAATAATAATTATTATTACACATTTTATTTTTTCTGTAGTGCATATGTTTCTGAAGAGTAAATTTCAATTCTAAATTTACTATGTTTACTGATATTAATTATATTTGCAAATGAAAATCTCTTCTGATTTTTTAAAATTACAAAGTGACTTCACTTTTAAATAAGTTTACTTTGTGTACAAAGTATCTACAGAGTGATACACGCTAACTATGTCTAATGTAATATTTTAAAAAATACAAGTATTATAAACAATTTTTTTTGAATTATTATGGATCTTTGATGAGGTGTTTCAAAAGAAAATTTAAATTTCTATCATCATCTCTTATGCTTAAAACTTGTATCAATTTCATATTTTCAAATGGCAACCTTATTTTTTTACACCATTAGATTTAGTTAAATAAAAATAAATATTTTATTTAATATTAATTGCTCCACGGCTCTCTAAAGGTTAGGGTTTATTAAGAAAAAATTATAACAGACTCGAACGTTATAGATCGTAAATCGATAAGCGCTATTCTTTCTACGTGCGTTGACACAGTAAACCGGTAGCTCTTATCGCTAAAATAAAATAAAAATGAGACCGTTTTAGAAAAACTAGTGAATTTTTTCATAAAATATCGTAAATTTTAAAGTAGCGTATCTTATTTGAAAATTCATAATTTTTTTTTTGCTAAATATTATTATTTTATGATGAACAAAAATATATAAAAATGGGTTTGCCATTTGAAAATCTGAACTTCATACAAGTTCTAAGTATAAGGGATGATGATAGAAATTTAATTTTTCTTGTGAAACAGCTCATCAAAGATTCACAATGATTAAAAAAAGTTTCTTTATAACACTTGTATTTTCAAAGATATTACGTGAGATATAGTTAGCCAATCACCCTGTATTTTCAATCGTTTCAATCCATCAAAATATTCACAGTTTAATTTAAGGAGTCATAAATCTTATGAAACATTTGATTATAATATAGATGTTAATTTAACAAAACTTAATCATATAGGGGATTTAGGGATAGTACATTTCTTTGATTTGTCACTTGTTGAACGCATACAATAAAATATTATGAGTATTCAGCTTTATAATAAATATAGTTTAAAAAAACTAAAATAACATGCTTTTAAAGCACATCAAACTAAAAAGTTAAAAATAACTTAAAAAAAAAAGCTTAAAACAATTATGAACGAAAAATACTAGTATTATTTTTAAAAAAGAGTGGACGCTCAATATACGAAAATATGGCACAAAGTGCCATATACTGCCGACAAAGTATAAAAATGAGAATAACTTCCGATATACTGATTTAAAAGTTGTTATCAATCAGTTATTTTCTTAATTAGATACTTACTATTTTATAAGCTTAAATTAAATACGTATGTAACGTTTGAAAAAATAAAGTTGACATCTTCATAAGTTATAAATTATGATATTAAAAAGTAATTTAGAGCTAATAAATTAAAAAATATACGTAATTAAAAAAAATCAAAAATTTTTTTCCCAGCGTTGTATTTATTCTAAGAGTAATCGAGTAATTTATGATAAACCGATTAACCGATATATATTCAAATAAATTTTAGATATGGGATTGTAAAAAAAAAAATAATAATAATAATATCGGTTCAATCTTAATTATTTCTTCAATTAGAATTTTTTTAGTTTTGGAAAAATATGAAAATCACTGTTTCCGGGCAACTATGTCGAATTTTTTAAAATTTCGATAAATTTTGCAAATTTTATTAAATTCAACAACGTTTAAACAATAAATATAAAATGCTCGAACCATATTTGGCCTGATGAATAAAGTTTTTTAAGTTTTATAATTACGAAATTAATGATTTTTAATCGTAACTTAACACAATAATAATAAATGTTTCTATTAAGATTTTTCATCACAATAAATTTAGTTAAACTATCTACAAAGGCATATTTCGTCCACTATGATGGTGATGAATTTCATGATGGTGTGCAAATTAAGAGGATTATAGAAAATAGTGAAAATGATCGCTATGGACTAGATGAATGTAGTGGAGTATTAATTACTTCCACAATGGTGTTAACGGCTGCTTGGTGCACTGGAGTACTATATGCGGCAAATGATACAACTGGCATACCTAATGTAGAAATTGAGGTCAGTTCCTATATAAAAAGTAATCTAAAATTAATATTTAATTTGAATTAAATTTCATGTGTTTTTTTTGCAACTCATATTATTGTTATGATTAGTGTTTATCATAAAAAGCTTTTCTAATTATTTGTTGAAAATATACATGTGTTGATTATATATACAGAAAATTATATCTACAATGAGTGTTTAAAATTATCATACATATCATATAATTTTTGAAAATATTTAGATTGAATTGAAAAATGAATTAAATTAGTCGAGAGATACGATTCAGTGGAAATTAGAGAACGTTTTAGATATTTTAAACTACTATATTGTAAAAACTAGTTTTAAATATTATTTGAAACTAGCATCGTAAAAAATTTGACAGTGATTAATATTACTATCTGACATCAAATTTTTGACGTGATCTTAAATGTATGTTGAAATTTCTCGTGTTCATAGGCTAATGATTGGATTTTAAAAAAAGAATGCCTAAAGTAGGGAAAATGTCTAAAATATTGCTAATAAAAATTACAAGAATAATTCATTTTTTAAAAAAGTCATTTGAATGCAAGTTTTGATTTTCAATGAGAAGTGTTCATGTAGTTAAATACAAAAAAAACTGACATAAAAAAAATTTTTTTTACCTATCCTAATAATATTGAAGTTAGAAATAAAACTCGACACTCCAATTGAAAAAATAGGGCTATCAAGGAGATGGAAGAGTGAAATTCTTTACTCTTCATTCAAAACTCTTCGTTTTGAATGTTATCAGGGTACCCTCTATAATTTATTCTTAATTATGCCATTATTTCAAATAATTTAATTTACTATTTTTCAATAGGTTAAACTTTATGTGGAAAATGATGTTGTTCGTGAAACAATGAAAATCATCGAGCAGAGCATTCATCCAGATTGGAATGTAACTACTAACGAGGGAAATTTAGCAATTTTAAAAATGGAAAATGCATTTGACTATCATAAAAAAGGATTTCAACCCTTACCAATAACAGATTGGACTGGCATGAGATTAGTTTTAGGAGGAAGTAATTCAAAATCCGAAGCTCAGTATAGTGAATGGCGATTCACTGGCTTTGCGAAGAAAAATAGATTGAAGTATAATTCCTCCCAAATATTAGAATCTAGTCATATGTTATTCGGTCGTGGGGTAGGCGGAAGATGGTAAGTAAATTTTTAATAGTTACTGATATATACCACGATCTGATATTTTAAAAGTAAAACTTACTTAAAAGGAAAAAAACATCGATAGGTTAACTGATTTATTTAAATACCTACATTAAAATCTGTGGCTATTTTCTAAGAGCGAATATGTCAATTGCTGAAAATTTTTTAGGAGAATATAAATAAATTCGTCATTTTAGAACCACAAAACCAAACAGTGATAAACTGAACCAGTATCTTGTAAATACGCCAAATATTTTATTAATACCAAAAACACCAACATATTTTACTATACTAACACCCATACTATAAAAACATAAATCCAGATATTTTTTACATAGTTTTATCTAAATCAATATTATTTTGGTTAACTCAAGAGCCTCCATTGAATTATACTTCGATTATATCTCTGTAAAAATAACTATAAATGCTTACATTGACACTCTCAACTCCGATTAACAAACTTATCCATAGTAAACAATATTGGAAAAAATTAAAAACGTTTGTTATAGAAAATATTATTCTTCAATAAAAAAATTAACACTTTAAAAACTGACGAAAAAATTCCTACCGGAATCAGTGGCCGACTTATAAGGATAGGCCAAAAACCCAACCCCCAGGTATGAGGCCAAGAAAGAGGCATGGGAGGCTGTGGCATCAACGAAAAAGAATAAAGCAGTAGGACCAGAGAAGTGCTAGTAGAAGTATGGAAAAAATTAGGTAGTGTTCGCATAAGTTAGTTGAAAAATCTTAATAGATGAAGAGAAACATTAGTAACAAAAAATAAAATTGTATTTTTGCCTGGAAAGTGACTGATGAAGCAAGTTTTTTGTGTGAGACAATTAAAAGAAAAGTATAGGGAAAAGAAAAAAAAGCTTTTACGAGGGAGGTTTTAAAGTAGAATTTAATGAGAAAAAGTATCTTAAGGAGGTGTATTAATAAAAAAGAGAATATGTACGATAACCATGTATCAGAATAAAAAGTATGGGTGGAATAACAAAAAATGTTAAGGGTAAGACTAGGAGTCCTCGGGTGGGTTAATTGGAGGGAATATAGCAGAGAATAAGTTTAGTAGAAATGAGAATGCTTAGATGGATGAGTGTAGTGACTAGAGAATTTACGATAGGGAACGAATATGTAAGAGGGAGTGTAGATAAACGTTAATCGTGAATAAGATGAGAGAAAAAAGACTTAGATGGTTTGATCATGTAATGAGGAGAGAGAGAAATCGGAAGCTTGTAAGGACAGTTATGGAAATGAATGTTGACAAAGAAGAGTGTTTTGCGGGTTTACTTAATGAAATTAAGTAAATAATTAACCAACATCGCAATTACTTTTACGAAATTTTTATTGATGAAAATTACATTATAATTTGTCACTCGCGCGTGTGTTACATGTTATCTGGGCCGGGTGTAAACCGGTATTACCGCTATATAACAATCGTAAAGCTTATCATTACTCAATACACAACAAAGAGGTAGAGGAAGACTATAAAAGAGATGGAGGGATATTATTGAATTCTATATGAAGACGGATTATGTGTGCATAGATGGTGTGAGTGATCAGATCGTGTATAGTGGAAGTTTTGGATAAGGGTGGCCGAACCCAAGTAGATGGGATAAAGGCGAGAAAAATGAAGAAAGATTTTATTTATTATTATTTGGCTCTTTTAAAATTCTTACATTATCATAAGTTATAAAATTTTGTCAATTTTAAGTACTAAAAATAATATGTTCAACATGACATTTTGTATTGAACTTTTATATGGATTATTTTTAACATATTAAAAATTAAAATCAATAATAATTTGAAAACAATTTTTTTTTTTACATTTAATTATTATCTTAAATGTAAATACTCGTTTTTAATAATTAGTAATAATCTCATACTGATTTGCATTACAGTGTTTCTCAGTAATTTTAGTAGTTTTAATCTCTGTCGGATATCATCTCTACTTATCCTAACTATGTTCTGTTCCCACTACGTCTCAACTTCACTGTACTATTGTTTATTTATTATTTATTAAAAGTAACAAAAAACTAAAAAATATTTATTTATTTAAATATAGTCATTTTTCTTATACAAATTTTTGATGGGTCCATAATAATATTAGGACAAGTAATCATTAAGTTACAAACATTTGAATAAAGTGGGTATTACTTAATGTATTAAAATGTTTGTTACTCGTCCTAAATTTGTTATTGACCCATTAAAATTTTTATATAAAAATCTCTAGAAAAATAATTATTTTAAGATTTTTGAAAAATAAACCTTTTTTTATTGATAAAAATAAATATAACACAAATGATTTTAACTTAGTCTAGGAATGTAAAATATTTAGTACATCAAAACTTAATAGATTTGTTAAAACATTGTGGATAATCTGTATAAATTACATAAAATTTCAAAATGAAAAAAAAAATTTATATCAAGTAAATAGATATTGAAAAAATTGAAACAATTAATGAACTTGCGCATTAATGAACATATAAAAAAATGTGATCTGAGACGAGGCGAAACTTATAAAAGATCCTCACTACTCAGTGAAAACTAAATGAGTTACAACATAATTTTCATAATAGACTGAATTAGAGCAGGTTTGTTAAATATTTCAGGTTATAAGCCGGCATTACACAAACAGCAAAAAAACATTTTTCTAACAAAAAATTCACTTTTAATGTTTGCGGAGTGCTAAAAAATTGTTCTGATATTTTCGAATAATTTTTTCAGGATAATGTTACCTAAGCTCTATCATTAAAAAAAAAAAAAATTACCAATTAATAAGAAGATATTTAAAATATTAAATACACACAATTATCCATATTTTATTTTAAATAAATGATTAACACTTGACTTTAAAGTTAAAAATATGTTTAGTAGTTTTTTATCCTGTTGGGTTTTTTTACACTTCAAAAAATATAACATAATTTTCGTTAAAAAAAGAACAAAATAATTAACTTTATAAGTTTTTTTTTTGTAATATCAAAGATAAGATACTTTAGTGGTTCTTACATCTTTTTTTATACAACATATTTTTAACATTTATTGAAGTATTTTCAATATTATGTTGTAACAAGTGTACAGGCATAGACTGCAATAAATTCAGAAATTTACTAAAAAATATTTCAGAAATGATTTTTAAGTATTATGTGTAATATATTAAACAATGGTTAACAATAATAAAATAATAGTTTTACGAAATCTACTTGTTAAATTTAACTAGTTGATATTTTACATAATTTTTCGGAATCCCAGATCTTCATAACAACTTTTGTAAACCAGTTCACAAAAATTATCTAAATAATTACATGCATAAGAATAAGTTTCAGTTGACTGTTGAAAATATGGAATATTCGTTGTGCTTGCTAAATGCTTGAAATAATTTATTATTTTGTTTTTATTATAAAAAGGTTCTTTTATTTCACAACGGAATTTTACATTAACTAAATCGCTATTGAAGTCATTATAAAATTGTGTACGAAAATTTATAAAAATGTTTAATTTTTTTTCAATTAACTCGATTTTTTTATTATCATTTTTATCGATAAAATTATCTTGAAAAAACTCATTATTATTAAGAAAACTAAGAAAATCTTCAACCCATTGTAATATTTTCTGTAAATTCGAATGAGACCTAAAACTAAAATCCCATATTGATAATTCCTTTAAAGTAATTAGAGCTGTATACAGTCCTTCAAACATTATTTTGGATTTGTTGAATGAATCAAATAATTTAATCAAGCAATTGTAGTTGTAGCATTTTTTATCTTCACTGCATAGAAATAATATAGCACCTAATATTACATGGTAATTTTTAATTATTTCTGTATATCTACATCTTAATAATTGTGTTATATATTCTTTTTTTATTTGAAAATTCATGTCATCAATTGGGTCTTTTAATATACAATCTATGTTGAATAGTTTATCATTATAAATTATATTTATGTGACACATTGTTTGCCAACCATTTTCCTGTCGAAGAATATTGAGAGCTTTAATTCCATCATTTTTATTTATACTTGGATCTATTGGAGGTATGAGTCTGTATTCAAAATGTTATAATTGTTAGGTAAATATATAGAAGAAATAAATTAAAATACTATAAATGAGACATTGTTTTATTTCCATTTAGTTCAATTTTGTAAAAATGATTAAAAGTATAGATTTGATACATAAACCCACTTGGAAAAACAATTAAATATAATAAATACCGTTAATAATGATTCAAAATAGCAACACTAAAATAATTTCGTTGCGGAATATTATTAAAATGTAATTTTTTTCATAAAATTAACTATTTTAAAAGATTTTGATAAAAGATACGGATTTACTATATTCACATTACAATAATATTTGAATATAAATTATGTAATTTATATTAAATGTAAACAAATAAATATATTAAAAAATAAATAAACATGCTAAGTTTGTTTATTTCTTAAAATATTATTATTTTTTATTAGTACACGGAGATGTTGCATATTTACCATAAAAAAAAATATCAAATTGTCTAACTTAAAAATAACATAAGCTTTAAATTTAAATTTCTTATATTTTTAAAAAAAACATATTAAGTTATTTATAATCAAAAACAAAATTAGCATAAAACTAAATATAAATATAGGCATTCTTACTCAGGTTTATTGGGGTTGAGAAATTGTTCAAAGCCGAGATTTGTGTACCAAATTTCTATGTTTTCGTTATAAAATGTTTTAAGTTTACTACATATTAAATAGACCAAATAAGAGTCATCTTCATAAGAGTATTCCTTAAATTGAATTGTAGTTGAATCGGTTTTTGTAGAAGTGTCAATAATATTACTATTTTCATAGAGATTGTTTACTTTTGTTGATGCTTTTGTATAAAATTCATTTAAATTCTTAAATTTCGATGTAGTGTCTTGAATACTTGGTAAACTATTGAGATCAAAATGGCCGTTCTCTGGTATTTCTTGAAACACATATTTTTGAAAAAAGTTAATTTCATCAATTATAACATTCGGCACAATGGATCCTTGAAACACACATCTTACATCTATGTAGCTTAGAAACATCATAGCTTTGTGCAAATTTTCAAACATAGTCTTGGAATTTTTCACTTCTTCTACGAGTGAAATTACACAACAAATAAAATTTTCTTTTAAATTTCTTTCATAAAACTGACTACATTTTTGGAGAATAATATATATATAATCGAGAAAGTTTTTTAATATCTCAGTGTACTTGAAATTTAGTATACTTATTGTATGAGAATAGTTATTTTTGAAATTATTATAGTTCGTCTCAGGTTTGAAAGCTTCTTCAATACTAATAATATAATTTAAATCTATTTTCAATTTTAGATTTTGTATTTGAGTGGATACAATATGTGAACGAATGTAACCAATCACTGTTTGGATGTAATTTTTATAATTATCACGATAATTGTTAATACAATTATATTTGCAATTTACTCCTTTATCTAATTTCATAACGACAATGGCAATAGACATTAAAATCAACGAATAATATTCCATTAAAATAAAACACTAACAAAATATAACTTGTTGAAAACTACAGGAGATTTAAAAAACAAATGTCAATTTGTTCATTATTATTTTATATCAAAGAGTTTTTAGTAAACAAATGTGTATATAGAATATACATTTTTTTTACGACAATAAAAAATCACTGAAATTTATTTCTTTTTTACAAATAAGTTTTTACAGGATATGTTAATTATGTTATTATACGTCATATAATATGTTGATAAATTTCTTCTTTAAATTCTGTATTTATAACATTAAAATATCGCAACATTAAGTCTCGCAGCTTCGGATTCGTGGTTTCGACCAATTATCTATAAGTATTAAACGGATCACTAATATTGCTCACAAGATATTTTGAATTAAATTGTGTTATTTTATTTAATGAGACCTAATAATTATCTTTAAGACTAATTTAAATTGTAACATATAACTCTTATATCATAAGAAAATAATGATAGAGAGTAGTTAGCTAACAATTTATGAATATATAGTAGTACTTTAATGATAATAAATAGTGTTTTAAAATTTCAAAAAATTTGAAACACCCTATAAATACTTTTATTTGTTTTATATAAAAATTTATGAATTTCAATTTATTTGTAGTTGATTAAAATTTTTTTATGTAAATTTATATTTCAATTTAAAATGTGTTATTTTGAAAAAAAAATACACAAATTTATAAAATATAATTATATTTAAACTCTCAAATATTAAATATTAAATATATACTTAACCTTTAGTGACACACGTGGTCTGATATCGCACGTGATATAATGGTGCGCGTGGGGTAATTATTTTTCGTAGAAATAAAAATGATTTTTTCTTTACATTACTCAATTTTTATTGATTATTAATTGTATATTATTAAATAACAAATTTTTAAATATTTTTTTATTATATAAGCATATAAATTATTACATATCAATCAATTTACAATACTAGGTTTCGCCTGGCTCCAAACTTTGTGCCCTACTGGTCTCACGCAGTTACGGCGCGATAGGCTCTTCAAGCTGTCTTTACGAGAAGGCCACTGATTCCGGTAAGAGTACCCGACTACGCCGATAGCGATATGTGTTGTGCAAAAAAAATATAATTCCAAAAGCAATTAACCAGAAAATTAGTAAGACAACTAATTACAAGTGGGACACTTGTAGTGGGCCTAGTAAAAATTTTAGGTTTTAAATCAAAAAACACTTTTGATGTGCTAAAAAAATTGTTCATCTTTACATATAATTTTCCTATAATAATGTTGTCAAGCTCTTTTATTAAAAAAAAAATAAGCACAGTGGGGACGTGGTATAGTTGGGTCCAGTGATATCTGACAGTGATTAAATTCACTATCATAAAAATGCTTCGATGCATATCTACAGATGACTTTAATTTTAAGAAATTGGTTGATTATTTTAAAAGCAAAATTAACTCCTATTAGCTTTGATGCGAAGCTGAGAAGGTATTAATTTTAACATGATGGGTTTTTTATTTGTTTGTGTCTGTTACCACTTTTTCTCAGCTCTCACTGAACCGATTTCTTTCAACGATGTCAAAATATCACAAATCGTATCTAATCAAAGACATTAACCTTTTTTTTTCCAACGGTCAACATAATGTTGGACACCCTGGAACTACTGTGGTATAGCTTCAGGACGCCTAACGTAGCATAAGCACTCACAACACGACGTGGCCTTCCCCATTAGCCGGACCCCAAAGTGTGATCTGTTCCCCAGGCCGCACCACGTGAAAGTGGGGGTAGGACTTTGCTAGGGGTTAGGTTATGAAAAACACACAAACAAACAGACACAAACGCTAAAAATGAAAGGACCTGTTGTATCAGGCCTTTTTCGTTTTTTCGGGGCAATCCTATGCCAGGTGACCCGTCACTTTGCAGGCAAAGTGGAGTATTTTAAGTGTCTGTAGCAGACACTTAAAGGACTTATCTTTTGGGACACGCACTCTGCACGAAGAGCTGGGCTGGACCACACGCAGTCATGCCAACCTAGCCAGCGGAGCCCCGTCTCTGATTGGCACGTCGCACCGTGCGTACCGGCCTTACCCACTAACGTACAACCGGACCACAGCTGGGCCGGTTGGTGCAGCTTTCTTCCCACAGGCGCTACTACAATATGAGACGGTGGGCTCGAAATACACACAGCCTCCATCGTCTCTAATTCTGGGGCAGATCATCTTATTTATCGCCACTCTTCTTTTTCTTCCTCCGCCTTCTTTTTCGCACACGTTTATCAACCTTCACGGCGGATGGTGGGTAGACGGATGGAGCACTCACGACAGGTGTCGTCAGCATGGCGGCCCTAGTGGTTGGGTCGTCAGCCGCAATTTCGGCGTACTTCTTCCTCTTTGTCTCAGTAGCCCTTACAGGTGTTACCGTTAGCAGAATAGGTGCATCTGGAGGAATGTACTCCAAATATATGTATAATATATATTATAAAGTTAAAAGAGTTAAACTTATTTGATCCATCCTGATGTACATATAAATTAAATAATTCATTTCTCAACAACACCTTTATACATTTATTAAGTAGATGCTAATTTCTAAAAAGAAAACCTAAAAATATGTTTGTATAACAATTATTTAAAATCAAAAATATATTGAAAATGTTAATTTAAAACTAAAAAATATTCTTATTATTTCCTGAATTTTACAATTTTTAACTCATTTTATTTGTTTGATCTTTATAATTTTATACGATTTCTTAAGTTCGTACATATGTCCTCAAAGAATTATACAATAAAAAGAAAAACTTAAATTTAAAATTAGAATTTTATACATGTTTAAAATTAAAACTATATTAAATTCATTGTTAATTAAAAACTAAAAAATATTAAAAATATAAACTCAAAAAATTACTAAAAATCACGGATACGTATTTCGAAAGTAATGCTACCATTATTAACGCTAAACATATACTGATACCCCGACCGAAAAAAACCTCTTATATACCCTTAATGACATTATCACTAAGTAATATTATCATTACATTTTGCCTGTTTATACAAGTTAAATAATGAATTTTTCAGTGAGCTAAGATACCAATTAATTAAATTATTCTTATTTTTAAACATTTTATTGCCTCCCTTATATTGAGTCCTTTGTAATTATTTACGTTTTTAATAAGTTTTACAGTTTTAATGGAGTGAGTATGTATCAATAAATGCTTAGTCACCGGAGATTTATCAATTTCTTGATTTTTGATGTTTCTCAACTGTTCTTTAAATCTGACCCCTATATTTCTTTTTGTCTGTCTTACATAATATTAATTACAAATTTCACATTATATTTTAAATGCCCGATTTCTCCCTGTCTTTTACTTTATTATTAGGGTTACCTAATAATTTTTTTAAATTACTTTTAGATATTACTAAAGTAATACCAAAATTCTTAAAAATTCAAACTAGTCCATTCGAGATGATCGGATAATATATATTGGGTGATCTAATTACTTTTTGTTTTTCCACACTAGTGTGAGTACTAGTTGCCCTTCTTTCTTTATTCCAATTTTGTGTTCGGACTAATTTTGAAATTACACTTTCATTATACCCGATAAATCTAGCTATTTCTTTTAAACCCCACAGTTCTTTATCAAAATCCATTTTATTCATCAGAATTTTAACTAATCTGTAAACCATACTATTAAAAACTGTCCTGTTGTGTTGTCAGCTGTGGTTTCAAATGTTTGGAATGTACAAAATTTAGTTCCTTCTTTACACTTTTAAATATTAAATCCAAAAAAGGCAATTTTCCCTCTACTTCCTGTTCGTATGTGAATTTAAATGATGGATAAAAAGAATTTAAATGCTGTAGGTATGTTTAAAAAGAATTTAAACATACTCAAATTTTTCAATAATCACCATAAGTGTGTTAAATTTATTTCGAACCTATACATGAAAAGTTCTGCTAAATGGTTAAAGTGGATTTCCCATTTCTATACCTTCAGATTGCTCTAAAATTTATTTTGAAACTGAAAAAAATTTTGCCTTATACAGAACTTAGTTAAATTAATAAGCTCTTTTATTTTATTCTGTTCTATGTTTTGTTCCTTTAGCCAGTCTTTAAGAAAACCAATTGTTATCTTTATCGGAATATTCAGAAAAAAGGCTATTACATCAAAAGAAACTAACCTTTCATTATTTTACATAGTATATCCAGATAGTTTTTAAACTAAGTAATATTATTTTTTAATGAAAAGGTATTGAATTTTAGAATAGATGAAAATACTCTTACTAAGTGTTTAGCAAAATTATAAGTTAAAGCATTAATATTCGAGACAATAGGTCTTATATTATATCCTGACTTATGCTTTTTTGGCAAATAATATAGTTTAGGTATTTAAGAGTTTGATATTTTGATAAAAATCCTAAACTTTTCTTTAATTATTAATTTTGAACAATTGATAACGTTTGTAGCCTTCCTTGTAATTTTCTTAATAGATTTTTTTTTAATTTCTTTATAGGGACTCTTTTGAATCATCTTTGATACTGTATCGAAATAATATTATTTCTTCAGTATTAATATGGAATTTCACTTATCTGACGTTAAATAAAGCAGTTTTTATTTTTTAAGTCGTGAATGTTTTTAATATTTCCCTAAACCCTCTTTACTTATAACAGAATTTTTTTGTAGAAAACTTAAACTTAAAACTTCTAACTAAGTCTTGATTATTACAATTAACATATTTTACTCCCATTTCAATGCGTACTAATAGATCTTTCATCACAATTTTTTTTGGTAAAAAACTTGTTTTAAGACTCAACTTAAGTATTTCAGTTTTATCAGTGGAAAACGCATCGTTCGTGTAATTTTTAACTAAATTGTTTCCCCATTATTTACTTTTCTTTTTTTATTTAAAATTTATGTTCAATCACTTGGTATATCTTTTGTTCGATGATTTTCCACTGTGATTGACTTGGAAAATTAGAAAATAATTTATATAAATATAAATTTATGTATAGTTTAATAACATTAAAAAAATTGAGGTACTGAAATAATGAATATGATTATTATAATATTAGAATACATACCCTGGCTACACAATAAATCTGCTATTGTAGTTGTAAATCTCACAAATTCTATATTATATGATAACTCGACCAGTACTGAGTATTATGTATTTTATTTGAATTTCTATGATGATCATCAGGATTTACTACGAAGACGAACATTTGATATTTATAAAATATCCACATTGGTTTCAATTTTTTAACTATCGGCCTGGAGAATCTAGTTTCCAATTTATTGCATGTGAAGGGGATATTGGAGGACCGCTTTATCGAAGTAAATCTCTAGAATAATTATCTAGTTTTCCGTAAGTAATAATGGTAAATATTTTCTTTGCAAACTACTTAAATTACTCAAATAAGTTCAAGTGATGTAAATATTATTCATCTGACCTCATGTCTTATTTTTTTATGAGTTCATATAGTTATCGAATAATTAAGGATTTACTGAACTTTAGAATTATATAAAAGATTTATTTTAACGAATTAACTTCTAATATCCAGAAATAAAATTAATAATTTCATCTTCTTATAAATTTTAATACTTGTAGCGATATCAAATAAAAACCAACCAATTAGATTTAATCTAAGTTAAAAATATTGTAGGTGAACGAAATTTTTATTGCTTATTACATACTTAATGTCAACAGACTTTTTTAAATTTTTCCGCTTAAGTCGTTCATTACAAAAATATCAAAATTACTCCCTACCTTAATATTTATTATTTAAAAGTTAAAATTTCAATTAATATCGATAGTGTTCACAAATTGAAATTAGTTACGTTCCTTGTTCTGTACAAAATTTGGAATTTATATTCAAATGTTTCAATCTGAAATTATTCAGAAGACGGTTTCAAATAATCTTAGAGAATATTTGTTAAAGGCAAAAATACTTTTCAAAAGTATTCATAATAATTTGATATACTTGAAAACTTTTATTGGTAGTTATATTATATACAATATTTATAGTCACATTATTTTTAAATAACATTGTTTTATAATTCTTTAAGAAAATTAATTTGTATAAATTCGAAGCTTAAGGGGAAATACCATGAAGTTAGAATAAATGCATATGTTTTTTTACTTTTAAATGAACATTTTTTCATAACCCATTTTGAAAGACACCATATGTGGTAATATTATGGCTTTAAGGAAATTAAGCTTTGCGTTTTTTTAGTTCATATAATTAACATGGCCGCCGGGGACTGGTGGATGATCATAGGGATGTGTTCAAAAAGATGATAAAGATAGTTTGGTACGGGATTGAAACCTAAGTCCCAAAGCGCCACCAGGCAACGCCTAAACACTAGGCTATCGTGAACTTGTAATGAAGTAATCGACACATACCCATTTAGACATATATGCGCTACAAAGTTCGGTTATAGATATATGCAACTGTGTCAATATATTTTTTTTGGGGACATAACTGACTAATGTTAATAACTAATATTTTTATTTTTTTTAGTCGTTAAGAAAAGAGGTGGTCCTTGGTGTAAAGAATTGTTTGCAATTCTTTCAAGAGTTATTAATTTCAGAGCGCCTTTTTGTACTAATCAATGTGATGAACCCCTTAATAGGCAAATAAGACTGAACTGCAAATTACATGAAACAGTTTTTCAATTTTTACTTATTAATGAATACTACAAAAATTGGATACATTACATTCTTACAAAAGATATAAAATTAACAGGACCTCCGAAAGCAGATATTTCTACTTGTCCTACGACGAAGCGCACAAAGATTACAATAAAAAGAAGACGAACAACCGTATATGATGCTTACTATGATCCTGATCTTTATAACACAGAAAAGGCTTTTATGTTACCTAATTCTTACGTGTGTCGATCTTCAGGAAAACCTAAATTATTGTTAAATTTTATAAAATTAAAATTGATTTTTGGTTTATTTGTGTTGTTACAATAAGAATTTTAAAGTATTACATTTTACAAGAAAAACATTTATTTGATATTAATTTTAATTAGTTTACATTAAAGCGGCATTTTTAAAATTAAATCGGATTAAGAGCTGTAAGGACCTCGGGCTGTATCAAAAGATGAAATCCTCAATGAAGGGCCCATCTTGATTAAGATAGTTATAATAAGAAATATTTTATTATACCTTAGAGACCACTTAAATTTTTTTGAATGTCCATACAATAAGTTCTACTAAATTTGGGACTGATTCATCCAGTTGTCCCTTCGACCTTTAAAGTTTAGTAAAATATCAATTAATTTTATAATAATAATAGTAATTTATTCTAAAAATAAAAAAAATTGTTATAAATTAAAAATATAATATTTTTGTTAGTTATGTATTTAAAACCCAATATTATTGCAATTATTAGTTTAAAAAATGTGAAACTCACTTTTCAAATGCAACTATTTATGTGCCGCGCTCTATGTGTGTGACTGACACCTACGCCGTCCACACCATGTGCCCGGCTTTTTCAACTACTCTACTTACCTTCCGTTCACTGTAAAAATTAGGTTAATTAAAAAAAAAATATATAAATAATTAGTACATGTTTTGATAAGTAGTTGCTTAGAGTAGATACGCAACATTAAATTCCTACTTTTTTAAAAATTATGTAGGTTTTTAATTGAATTTTTTGTATATTTAGAATAAATTATTTGTATTTATTAGTTATTGTGTGATTTCAGGTAGTTACAGCTGGTCAGTATGTACAACTTCTATCAGCGGTTACATATGAGTTATTACAAATTTTTATTTGTTTATATAAATTAGTTAATTAGAGTGATTATTAGAGTTTTACAGCTATTCCCTTGTATATTAAGATAGTCTCCTTACAGTTGAGTTATATCCATATATATATGTATCGAGTCGTCAGTTGTACTATTGTTTAACGTAATTAAACTGAAGTGTTATTTAATTCTTAAACTTAGCGAAAAGGATTTAAGAAAAAAATTTAGTATTTAATACTTATTATTGGTTTATTGTAATTAACATAGCTGAATCGTAAGTAATCGTAACAATAGTCAATACGACTACAAAACTATGACTCCTTATTATTAAAAATATGTAACGCGAATATGCAATCGAGTCGACAGCTATGAGCTGGAAAAGCCCGATTTGTGCAATAGTTCATAACATATGTATAAATAACATATACATAAGTTTGTAATTTTTTTTTTTTTTATCATACTATTAAGGTATAAATAGGGCGTTTCATTTATGAAAATTAATGTTAAGGTTTTATATCCCTAGAGAGAAGAAAAAAAAATTATTTACAAAGGTGGTCTAACTAAATTTTATCTTGCATAATTATTTTTGTAATTATTTATAGTTAATTCATTTTATTATTGTTCATTGATTAATTTGATTTAAGATAATATAAAAATCAATTATATTAATATTAATTTTTAAAATAGAATAAACCATTAGGTTCAATGATTTAGATAAATAAATTGTACAAAAACGTGTACAAATTAGAATGGATAATTATCTATTCTGATCTTTTTTGATGTTACTCTACTCTTCTAAATATTAATTTCACTTATTTCTTTGATCCTTTGATATTTTTATTTGCATAATAGTTAGCATATTGAGAAAGAATATCATATTTTGCATTTATTAAAACAAATTTAATCAAACTAATAAGCCCATCCCAACCTTTAGTTCATATACATTAATGAATATTATAATGAACCATTGTGTTTCTATTGCGAAAATGTTTATTTTAGAGTTAATGTCTTTTAACTTTTCAACTACAGGAACTATACTTTTTGTATAATAAAAATTGTCCCTAATTGACGGCATTGATCATTACAGTTAGTTATATTATATAATTGTATCGTTTATATTCACCGTTTTCAAGTTCATTAAATTCATTAGTTATGATTAATATCTCTTGAGTTGTAGAATCGCTTGTAGACGAACCCATATCTTCCCTGTATTCTTTAATGCTTTGAGTAATGGAATTTATAGACTATTTCAATTTTTTGAATTAAACTTTTAATATTTAAATATTGAAATTGTTTGTATTTTTTCTTGCTAATTAAACTAAACAATCACTTGACGTTTGGGAGTCATACATTATTTTGTTAAGATTTATTAACTCATTAAAATAAAATTGGTCAATAGTTTTTATCCGACATACGAATTTTTACTGCTAATTTTAATAAAATTACAATGGAAAAACTTAAATTTATACAGGGCCGATTGTATATTGATAGAGTTAATTGAAATATCAGAATTATCAAAATTTATTATTATGAAGAATAGTTTTAACAGAAAATTATTTACGTCAATATTATGACCAATACATTGTATTACTCAATTGGAGTAATCAAAAATCAAAATCAATTAACTCAAGTTAAATACAAATGAAATACTAATAATAACAAGGGCCCTAATCATATTATTAATTTTTTCAGGACATAAAAAAAATTATGTATTAAAAATAATATTTATTTTACCAATTTAGAATCTGATTATTTCTATACCATCAAAAATGATTATTTTTTTAGTTAGAATTTTTAGATTAGATCCTTGTTATTATAAATGTCTCAAATTCATAACTATAACAAATAAATTTGTCTTATTATAATTTTATTACTTCATTAAAATCAATATTTTCAATTACATGAAGTATTTTTATATTATTTTCTTATTCTAGTTTAATTTGTTTAATTATATTCTTATTACCTAAGTTTTCTACAGCATTATATATTAATAACAAAATCTGTTAAAATTTTGCGATCCATGATATTGTTAGTTCAATAAGAATGGTGTTAATCGATGGTAACATGTGTAGAGCTGTATTAGATATAAAATATCTATTTTCACCAAAAAAAACAAATAAAAAACGATTGTTCAAACATTTTACTGGTTTTTTTCGCATGGAATCATATTCTTTCACGTCATAATATTCACTTAAAATTTCAGTTGATCCGTCTTCTGGCCAAGTAACCAACGCATCGTCAGTCGTTGTCGTTGTTGTGATAAAAGTAGTTGTATTATTAATTGATTTTTTTTTTGAAATCTATTTTAAAATTTAATATGACTAAAATTATAAAAATCAATTGGTAAATTTGAATTTTTAAAGAACACTGTATAAATTATTTAATAATTTTAGAATCATCCGATATCTTAAAAACCATATAAAAGCTTTACACATCATAATAAAAAAAAAACGCTTCGATGCGAATCTGTTAACTTTTATAAGATATATTTTTAGATTTACAATTTTTATGATCTAAAATTTTACTTGATTATGCTTGTTTAATTATGTTATATTTTGCTTCTACAACTGATTTCACATATTAAAAACAGTTTTGGGACAAATTTGTTTTTAATTGTATTAAACTTTAATATCTGTAATTTAATATAGTTTAAAAGTTATTAGACCTTCCTGAAATATTCAAAAATCGAATTGAACATTTTTTTTATAAATGCTTAAGTGGTCTCTATCAAACTCGTCCTGTACTTTTTCATTGAATTATTATAAAAAGCTAACCAAAAGAAAATTTATTGTCTTTAGTATACTTTATTAAAATTTATTAGGATCAGTAATTTAAAATGAAGGGGTCTTACAAATTTTAATCAATGTTATGTTCAATTAGATAAAAAATTGGTTCTATTCACATATTGACCATTAAAATTAGTACAGTAAGTACTGGGAACTTTCATGAACAAATATAAATAATATACACATTGTCACAAAACCAATACCTTTTCAGCTTCGCATCGAAGTTAAAAAAGTTATAGAGAAACGTTGAGCTTAATTTTTTGATTAATGAGCGCTATAATCATTTTTGAAAACTCCAAAAAGTGACGTTTATGTAATCGATGTATCAATATTTTGTATCAATTCATACATTTATTTACAAAAATATCCTAAATGGTTAGGATACAATTATGACGCAGCAACAAGATATTATCTTAGTAGATAATAACTTATAGAAAGATCGATATCACATTAAATATTTTAATAGTTATATACACTCAATAATATTAATAATACATAATTAGAAATCATTATTAATATAACTATATGTGTACAATAAAAATCTATATTCAGTAAAAGTAGTTCTTGTGTATGAAAGAAGACAATTGTTTTGGTTTTAAGAAATTTTTTTTTTTAATAATGCAATTTTATTCATAAAATTATTGATAATTAGGTATTTTTAATTATTAATAGATTTATTTGATTAGAATGTAGTTAAAAAAATTATATTTTCTAAAAAAGTTACTCCTGACATTGTAACTATCGAATCATATAATACATTATAACTGTTCATAAACCGATATAACAATATTTTTCATTGAATACTGAGAAATATTAATTTTGGTCATAAATAAACATGTATTTTTGTTGGTCATAAGTCTTTATTTTGTCTTAAATCATTAATAACTAGACTTTCTTTAACTAGTTTAAATATATAGTTGATGAAATAGATTCTCACACTAGTAGAATTGTCCGGAGGATAAGATTCATCTAAAGTATCTTCAATTAAAGTTTTAATCCAATGATAATATCTATGTAAAATTAAAAATTCGGACGAATTTCTTTCAAATTTAACGCACGTTTCGGCTGGGTGTTCAAATTGATATTCGGATACTGCAATTCCATATAACACCATGGTACCATTTTTGACATCTTTATCTTCCTTTTCTTGACTCGACTTGCATAGCAATGCTGCTCCATCATCGCCATTATAACAAATAACATCCTTTTTATCTGAACATAATATATTTCCGAATCTGAAAAAATCATTAAAAATGCATATTGTAACATGACAAAAATTTAACCCCTCATTTTTAGCTTCTTTGCGTAGCTAAAAAGATATTGGTTTTACATGTTTTTTTGTGTCTGTCAATTTGTATACTTCACTTTTACAGTACCAATTTTGCCCAACTATAAAAATTATAAATCTTATTACGTTGATTAGCTGATTACGTATAACGTCATAATTTAAAAAAATTCTCTCAATCTTCATAATAAAGGGAAATGTACCAGAACATTACAATTGTTATAAAGCAGTGGATAATGATATTTTTATTTTTTATTTTATATTGGAATAACTATTTGAAAATATGATGGACCATTGCAAAACTTTTATAAACAATACTTTAAATATTTACCTAGTTGATGATAATATTTTATAAATCTAAACATTAATTAAAAAAATGATAGTACAATGGATTTGCGGTACAATGTAAACGTGGTATAGTTAGGACAAGTATATATGATATCTGATAGTAATTAAAATCACTATCATAAGAAACTCTTCGATATAAATCTATAGGCAGTGTTGAATTTTAAAAAATTGGTGCATTATTCCAAAGGCAAAAATAACTTCTATTTTCTTCATTATTCCTAATTAGTAGTTCTATGATTTATATGTATAATATATGAATAAATATCTATTATAGCAGTTAAATATAGTATGAAATTTAAATTTAATAATTTAGTATTATAACTGTTACGGGAACATTATAAAAAGTTGTTACTTTTATGGCAAACATGTATAAAAAATGAAGAGTTCGAAACAAAACTTTTCAGAAGATAATTTGTTGTTAATTATGAATAAATGGTCTATAATATATTTCAATCAAAGTTAAAAATATAATTATTTTGAGCATTTTTTTACACTGATTTTAAAACTGCAATTAGATTTTTTTCATCACTACACTTTTTCAATATTATTACTATGTTGTAAAACAAAAATAAGAAAGGGTGGTATGATAAATGATGGAAGGGAATGTTATAGGAGTATCGCAAAATAAGAACTATCCCTTTTCTCGAGGTGTGTTGTTCGAGGGTCACTTGCTATTTTAAATACATGCACAATAAATTAGGATGTTCTTACCTTAATCATATAATCCTTATTGATACAATAATTCACTCGTGGAACAATAAAGAAAGTATGAATTATAATAACCAATTTGTATAAAAAAAGTATCTTCGATTATTTTATTATTAAAAACACATAATACAATAATATTAAAGGAAAAACAAACAAAACTAAAAAAATATAAAATCGGTTTAAAAGGCGAAAGAGAGCTGGACGACGTGATCGTAAATCGGTTGGATCGGAACAGAACGAGGAGTATATGCCAAGGGATGTTCTTAATGTATTCCCCGGATCCCCTTCCACAGATGTGTATGATTATCGTCCAGCTCTTATTGGGTTTTACATTTTTATGATACGTTATGTTCAGGGTTTTTGTAAGTGTTTTGAAGGAGCGGATGTTTGTGGCGTGATCGTGGGAGTAGTGTTTTAGAGGATAGACGGTGTTTATTGTGTTTTATATGTTATGTGAAAAGATATTGTGTTGTAAAAGAATTTCTATATGTGTTGAGAAGTGAATAAGAAGAAAACAGAAGACTAAATTGTTTGTGTGTGTAGGGCCTATTACAACAACTAATTAGTTACAATGTTAAAACGAGTAATAATATATTTAAAAAAACCCAGCACAGTGGGGTGGCGGCACAGTGGGGTCGTGGCATAGTTGGGTCCAGTATAGATGATATCTGACAGTGATTAAAATCACTATCATAAAAAAACGCTTCGATACAAATCTGTAGTCAAATGAAATAAGTATATCTTTCATTTGACATACTTTTTATTAAAATTGGACAAATTTCCCTTATATAGNGGTCGTGGCATAGTTGGGTCCAGTATAGATGATATCTGACAGTGATTAAAATCACTATCATAAAAAAACGCTTCGATGCAAATCTGTAGTCAAATGAAATAAGTATATCTTTCATTTGACATACTTTTTATTAAAATTGGACAAATTTCCCTTATATAAGGGGCGTTAAAAACTTGAAATATTGTAAAAAACATAAATCTTTTTCAACTGAACTTTTGAAAATGTTCCGGGAATACTGCGTCCTTTAAACATATATCAAATCAAAGGTTATGTTATATACTATTAAATGAAATAAAAAAACCCAGCACAGGGGGGTCGCGGCACAGTGGTGACGTGGCATAGTTGGATANTAAAAACTTGAAATATTGTAAAAAACATAAATCTTTTTCAACTGAACTTTTGAAAATGTTCCGGGAATACTGCGTCCTTTAAACATATATCAAATCAAAGGTTATGTTATATACTATTAAATGAAATAAAAAAACCCAGCACAGTGGTGACGTGGCATAGTTGGATAAAGTNCGTTTGCGCGACGGGCATGTGACACGGTCACTCGCGTTGTGGGCAGATAAAGGGTCAAATTTACAAAAAAAATATATCAAATGATAGGTAAAGACATCAAGCATCTATATAAAAAAAATTATATTGATACGTTCATTTTTGAATAAGTTATGGTAGTTTTAAGTAAAAAAAATTGAAAAAATTTCGAAAATTAGCGATTTTTAAATTTGTAATTTTTTTGGAGGTTTCCCCCATTTACGGGGAACGAGGGAATTTTTTTCAATTTTTAAGGGTAATGTCTTCGACTAGATACGATTTGTGATCTTTTGACGTATCATTGAAAGAAATCGGTTCGGTGAGAGCTGAGAAAAAGTGGTAACAGACA